GGCTGGGCTAGCTCAGGGACTCCCCTGTGCAGACTAGCTGCTCAGAACAGCCTGGCAGATCTGTCTGTTCTGACAAGCGGTGGTTCCACAATGGTCTGTTGTTTGAAGAGTGAGCGGCAGAACCAAGAACAATATGATGCCATTTTCGTGAACACCAAAACAAAACTACAGCACGCTTGCTGAACAGACCCTAAACAACCCCTGGATCAAAGAGGACATCAAAACTGAAATGAAAACTATCTAGAAAGTAATAAAGAACAGTGTACGTTCATGGAGACATCTGAAGGATACAGTTATAGCTGTATGCAGAGGAAAGTGTATAATCTTAAAGGGCTTTATTATCATAGGAAGAGAGATAAATGGTAGACAGATAGTCAGTCAGATGGACAGACTGAAGATTAGATTTTAGTTGTTCAAAAATTATCTTTAAGGATCACTTTTAGTTTAAACAATTTTGTATCACTTGAGGTGTATTATTTTTTAATTAAAAGGGACTCCTTTGGCAGCATCTCATAAAACTAACTTACATCTACCCCACAACCCAGCAGTTCCGCTCCTAGAGAAATGAAAATATATGCCCACAAAAAGACTTGTACACGAATGCTCATAGCAGCTTTATTCATAATTGCCCCAAACTGGAAACAACCCAAATGTCCATCCACAGGAGAATGGATAAACACACTGTAGTACGTCCACACACTGGAACACTACTGAGCAATAAAAGAAAGGGTCCACTCCACAGCATGGACGGATCTCAAAAACATCAGGCAGAAAGAAGCCAGACAAAAGAGTACATGCCATACAAGTCCATTTATAGGACGTTCTAGGCTTGGCAGAACTAACTGATGGGGACAGAAATCAGAAACTGGTTGCTCTGGGAGGGGAGAGGCACAAGACCACCTTCTGGGGAACTGGAAACATTCTATATCTTGATCTGGGTGGTGGTTACACTGGTATATAAATTTGTCAAAACTCATCAAAGTATAACTGAAACTTTGCATTTCACAGCATGTAAATGATATCTCAATTTAAAAATATTTTTTAAAAAATCACATGAGAAAACAAAAAAATACAGATCCCCAGGCTCCATCCCCTGGGGATTCTGATTCAGCACATCTAGGCCAAGCCTGGGAATCTGAATTTGTAAGAAGTAACTCAGATAATTCTGATGCCTGGCTCCTGCCCTCTGCACCCTACTCCCCTTTTATTGTTTTGGGTGATTTGATGGTTGTATGTTGGTTTTTATGAGAGAGAGTTGGTTAATTCACAGAGCTTCAGAAACAGAACAGAAATGTTCATTCTCTCTGCCCTCTCCCCCCGCCCTAGCCCCTGCCCCTCAGCTCAGGTTTCCAAGGGAAGCCTCTGACCAGGCGAGGTGGGAAGGGAAACTCTGATGCCCTGTCCAGGACTGACGTAACTCACCCTGAAGACGCCAGGCCTGCGTGCTCCCCGGGAGGTCAAAGCCAACAAGTTAATGGCCTGTGTACCTGTGAAAAAGCATGGCCAGGCCTCCACCCCGTGTTTACACGCACAGCTCAGGGCAAGATTCCCTGGCATGGAAAACGCTCTGTGCCCTGACCAGCAGTGGTCCAGGCACCCCTGGTCTCCTGAATCCCAGGCTAGTTCTTCACTCACCATCAGGGGTCTCCCGGGCTCCCGGGTTTCACTGGCTGCTCCACTGCTGTCCCCAAACCCAGTCTGATGCTATTTTTATCCCTGCTGCCCACAGAATAAAGCCCAAGCCCATTTCCCCAGCGCTCAAGGCCCTCCACCACCTGGCCCCATCCTCTCTCCAGCTGGAACCCTGGGAGGCATGTTCTACAAACGCGCTTGGCTATCTCACGCCACTGTGCCTTTCTACCTGCTGTGCCCCTGCCTGAAAGCCAGCCCATCCCAGCCCTCCACTCACAGAAGATGCCAACTCCCACATCACTTCCTCTAAGAAGCTGACGTGCCTCCTGCTCACGACCCTGCCGTCAACGCACACTCAGTCTCTGAGTCTTCACAGCACCCCACGGACTGGTCAGAGCAGCTGCCACGCTGTCCTAGCTCCCTCCGGGCTGGGAGCTCCTTGAAAGCCAGTATTCTACTCGGAATTCAGTGCCCCGCCAGCACTGACCTTAGCAAGGTTTATTAGCCAACTAAATGAGGCACATGGGAAAAGAGCTCTCCTTCACACTCCGGGCATTTCCACATGCGCAGCTTCTCCCCAGAACCAGTGTAAGCTCAAACACACACTCTGCCCAAGATGAGCTGGCCAGTGTGCAGGAGCAAGACGCAGCCCCGAAGAATCTGGTTCTCTTATGACCTTCTGCAGAAGTGGCATCAGCCCACACCTGCCGGCCGACCCTGGGGTTCCAAGGCCAGCCCGAATTCACCCCGGCCCCTCCAGCTGCAGCCGAGCTGCGTTTCAGGCACTCCTCGTCACTTACGCTTCAGCTCATTCCTGCATACAGGAACGTGTTCAATGACTCACAAGTGTCTTATCATTTCCGGACCTTTGGAAAGACTTTCAGAGAAGTGTACAGCTCCCAAATCCTTTGACAGGTTGACAGCCAGACTAGTTGGTTAGAAAACACCATCCCAGAGCCCGGACCGCCTCCTGGGGGGCTGACACTGGCATAGGAAGAGGGCAGGGCTCCCTGAGAAGGCACAGAGAGGGGAGAACAGACAACCAGGGACAGAATCGAGTTGCAAATGGGCCTCCGCACTCACCCTCCAGCCCTGACGACCAGGCACCTTTGTCCCTTGTCTTCCCCAGGTCCTGGTCCAATTTCAGCTCCCCAGGACATCAGTGACTAAGGCTCCACGGGGCCAAAACTCACAGCTGGCCAATGTAAGGCCTCTGAAGCCCAATCCTGCGGCTGTCCAATCCAGGCAAAGTCCTCTGGGTGGCTCTCAGTTTGCACATCTGTTAAATGGGCACTACCCACTAGGGCCTCCGACTCTCAGAGCAGATGTGACACAATCACTGCAGGATGAGACGAGAGGGATGGGGCAGGGGAGGGCGACGGTGGCTGCACCTCAGGTCAGTACGTGCAAGGGTATCCTTGAGGACAAAGCTCAAGAGCGTGCCTTGGCCTCCACCACACACTGCAGTGACCTGGGACCTCGTGACACCCTCTAATCGGCAGCTCTGAAGCCGAGCCCGGCTTTACAGCTTACCACAGGCTTACTCAGCCTCATCTCCCTCAATCCCCTCAAGGACGCAGTGGAGCTGGCACTGGCGTCCTTGCTGCCCAGAAAGCCAAGTGGAGGTTCAGAGAGGCTAAGGAAATCACCCAAGCTTGCCTGTCAACCAAGACGGAGATATAGCACTTGAACTCAGCTCCCTAGGAACAAGCTCCTGCTTCTCAGTCCCTGCTCACCCCATAACCAGTCTACTCCACCCATTTTACTGATGAGGAAACTGAGGCCAAAAAAGGTTGCCAGAGGTCAACTGGGGACAAGCCAGGCCAAAGACCTCTAGCCATTCTGTCAATCCCACCCTAAGGTGGGTTCTTGGTTAGTGCCCTGGGGCCCCCTCTAATCCCCCCAACACCATGCTGATGAAATTCCTGCCCCCACTGCACCCCACACCTCCTCAGGCCCACCCCGCACTCCCGTCAGAGAGAGCAGGCGGTTGCTAAGCACTCTCCCGCACTCTCTCATAAAAATAAACTCCTTCTGGCTGGGAGACTCTGGATGAGATCCCCTCCCTTCCAGCCAAGAAAAAGTTAAAAAGAAATTTTAAAAAGATCTCCTCCATGACATTTATTTGAACGTCAACAGTGCCAAAGCGTGGGCCAATTTGCCGAAGTCCAAATAGAGGCACGTGCCACTGAGCCTCAGCCCAAAGACCCTCCATTCAAGTGCCGGGCGGCTGCTGAGCTGATTTACTTCTCCAGGCAGGAAACGGGGGCCCAGGCTGCCTCCCCAGCCTTTGGGGCTGGTCCTGGGGGAGGCCGGGATCTGGCAGAGGCCAGGCAGTGATCAAAATAGCCGGTGGCCTGCCCAGCACACACCTCCCTGTGAGCATACACGGGCCCACAGGTCCCCCTCCAGGCCAGGCTGAAGCTGGGGGCTGTCAGAGGAGGTCCCTGAGATTCTCCCCAGCTTCCCTGGTGTGAGGGGGATGAGAAGCTCTTGCCCAAAAGAGGAATTCCCAGAAGAAAGAGGAAAAGTCTAGAGGAGGATGTGTCCTGCGGTCCCTGCGTGCTGCCCACTTGGCCCCCAGCTGTCCCTCTGGGCCTCTGTCCTGCCACTCAAGATGACTGGACGTTGGCACTGCCACCTGCACGCCGCACACGGGCAGCACTCTTGGAGCCATGCTGCCCTATCACTGCTCCCCACTTGGTGCCTGCCCTGGAGAACGAGCTCTGGCTGTTCCGCCCTTTAAGCACCAGGAACACTCCCTCAGGTACAGCGGACGACACACAAGTGCACGCAACCAGGGACCCTGGGACACAGCCACACTCGGGGACACACGTGCATAGCCAGGTATTCGGAGACAGAGTGACACACACACAGGTGCACATAGACACACACCGAGACACACAAGCGCACACACCCGAAGACACAGCAACACAGCCACACTCTGGTATCGCAGACACACACCACAAGACACCACGCACAGCCCAGGACACAGAGAAGAGCAGGAAGACGCTGGGACACACAAGTGCATGCTGCTGGGGACATGGAGAAACAGCCACCCTCAGAAACACACACACACACACAAGGACACGGAGATACACACAGACACCCAGAAAGACTGAGACACCGCCACGGACAGACACACACACACACACCTGCCGCCTGCTCGGGAAGCCCAAGCCCTTTCCCCCGGGGAAACAATAACAGCCTGGCCAGCGGGACTAGCAGGCGACCCTCCGGCCCTCCCTCGGTGGTGAGAGGGGCGCCGGAATGGGGGCCACTCGGCTGGCTGGAGCGCGGGGACGGGCAGGGGGCTCCGCGCGCCTGGCTTCTCTCTCTCTCTCTCTCTATCCCTCTCCCTCGGGTACCTGGGGTGGCCGTGGCGCTGCGCTCGGCTGCGCTCGGTCCCACTCGCCGCCGACTGCCCGCCCGCTGGGTCTCCGGCCCGCGGGGTCGGCGCGCCGCGCTCCTTCTCGGCGCGGTTCGGGCTCTGGGCTCGCGGTCCTCGGGGCTCGGCGCCGGCCAGCGAGCGGTTCTGCGGCCGGGGCCCGGAGCTCGGCGCTGGCGGCGGCGCGGAGGAAGCGGTAATCTATAAGCGGCTTCTTCCTGACCTCGCGTGTCTCTTGTCTGAGTAGGCAGCTCTCAGCATCACCCATCCTGCTAGGTGGAAAAATACCAGCTTGGCCGGGCCGGGGGCGGGGCCGGGGCGGGGCCCGGGAGCCCGGCCCCGCCCCACACGCGGACACACACACACACACACACACACACACACCCACACGCACGCGCGCACGGGCTCGGACACACAAAGAGCCCAGGCTCGCCGAGCGCGCGCATACACCCTAGGCCGCGGGCGAACGCTCGGCCCGGTGCTTCCCCCATGAGAACACTCTCTTCGAGGAAACCTTTCCCCTCCAGACCCTGGTGCCAAGTGGTACAGCCGGTCCTCAGCCCCCGCCTGCCTTCGGGATGAAAAGCAAGAGAGCCCCGACCGGGACTCCTCCCTCCCTGACATCAGCCTCCAAACCCCACCAGTCACCCATCCACCTGGCGCATGGGAGGGGCCTGTGGCTCCTTGAGTGGCCAGGTCCGAACCACCCCATTGGTCCTCGTCTGTGACCATCCAGGTTCTCTGGGCCTCAGTCTGCTTCTCCGAAAAATAGGCACAGCAACCCCACCCTCGCTGCCTCCTGAGGGTGACTTGAGACTGTGATGTGAAGGCGGTAAAGAGCTCCCCCATGCTTGGGTGTGCCCCAGCTGGGTGACCTTGGGCGAGTTACTCAGGCTCTCTTGCCTCAGTTTCCTCATCTGCAAAATGGAAGTAAAAATAATAGGACGTATCTCCTCTGGCTGCCCGGAAGATCCAAGGTTAACGGTGTAAAGAGCTTAGAACAACACCCGGCACTTAGGAAGTGCCAAGCGAGCGTCAGCTACTGTGACTATTTTTAAATGAAAATGGGGAATGTGCCATTATTCTCGCCCTTATTTGCATCAGCGAGTCCCAGGGACCATTTTCCATGTCCATGCCCTGGCTGGGCATGAGGGGGAAGTGCTGTGGGACTTCCAGCAAGGCCTTTCCCCTCTCTGAGCCCGAGTCTTCTCCTCTCTTTCTCTCATTCCCTCTCTGCACCTGGGAGCCTGTGTAGGGATCACGTAGATCCCTCCACCTTATAGATGGAGAATAAAAGAAGAAATACAAACAGGCCCCGCCTAGAGCCATCCCATGTGTCAGACCCAACCCAGCCTGGCTCCACTGCCTGGAAGAGGTCCACAACACCCGCTTCCTGAGCAGCCCAGAGTGCAGCTGAGGAGCAGGGTTCCGAGATGACACTTCATCTCTCCCCGGTTTCCTCGTGGAGGACCCCTCTGTCTGGCTCCATCGTGACCTTCTAACGGGCTACCCTCTCCCTAGCTCCAGCCAAGTAAGACACTGGCTGCTCCTGGCATATGCCCTCCCTTGCCTTCCTCTGGTGCCTTCCCTGCCCTTCTCTGCTGGCCCCAGGTGCCCCTTCCTCCAGGAAGCACCCAGGGACCAGCAGTACCTCCAGCGTGCCAGCCGCCCCAGGTGGCATCCACGTCTGTGCACCTCAGCTCTCTCCTTTGAGTTCAGGGTAACTGCGCACCTTTTATAGGCGAGGAAACCAAAGCTGGAGAGGAAAGGTGACTGAGTCCCCACTTCTCATGTGATTGAGTTCCCGCCATGAGCTGAAGGAGCTGGTGGCAAGCACAAATTCCCCAGGCTCCCTTGAGTGTGTCACCGCACACAGCACAAGGTGGTGGGTCACAGTGTGGGGCAGGGACTCTGGAGGTAAGGTCTGAACCCCCACGAGGAGGCTTTCACTAAGCCAGGGGTTGAAGGGAAGGGAAGGGAAGCACGTTCCTGGCAGAGGAAGCTGCCTGCGGAGCCTGCTGGCAAGAGTAGGGGGGGTCCTAAGCAAAGGGGATCCGGGCCCAGCTGAGGGTCGCAGAGAGCGAGCGGGGGCAGTGGAGGCCCCGTGAGGAGCAGGGAGGGTCCCATCCGGGCTGCAGCCTGGAGAGCCCGCTGGATGGTCTGAGCTTCAGGCAGGCCAGTATAGCGCAGATGTGTCGGCACGAGACACACAGACGAGGCTCATCCAACCATCCGTCTTCTTCCTCTAGACCATCACCTCCGCGAAGGACGGGACCTTATCCTTTGTCCCTCTTCGAGTCCTGGGGTCTGTCACAGGGCCTGGCACACAGTAGGTACTCAATAAATGTTTGCTGCATTTATTTTAACAAACCCTCATATAGCACTTAGCGGCATGCCAGGCACAGTTCGATGCATTTGTATATGTTAATGCATTGAATCCTCACAGGAACCTTATGAGGTTGGTACTGTTAACCTCCCCCATTCACAGAAAGGAAAACTGAGCCACAGAGAAATGAAATAACTTGTCCAAGGTTGCTCAGCTGGCAAGCAGTAGAGAGGAATTCAAACCCAGGCCATCTCGTTCCAGAGACCACAATCTTGACTGAAGGGCTTCAGGGCCCCTAGCAGTTGCCAGACAAAAACCCAGCCCCAGAAGGCAGGAGAGGGAGAGAGAAGGAAGAAGAAAGGAGAAGAGGAGCCAGGAAGTGCTCCAGCCTCAGCCTCAAGGAGAGGTGGCGTAAGAGGAGGAGAAGGGCTGGGGCTGGGGGCCCGGGGGAGTGCAGGGTGGGGTGGAGAAAGGAGAAAGCTCTGCACGGAGGCCAGAGACTCCCAATTTGCATTCCCCTCTCTGCTGCTTCCCCGCAGTGTGACTTGGGCCCGCACGCCGCTCTCTGGGCCTCAGTTCCCTCATCCATTATATGGGACAGTTAAGTCCTGCCTCATTGAGCCATCGTGAGGAGAGGTCTCAAACTGGGGGGGCCCACGCTGAATCTAGCTCCCAGATGTGCTCCTTTTGCCTCCACTGGGCTTTAAAATATTTTGAGTTAATTACCATGAATAAAAACTTGGAAGATTTCACATTTTAGAAACCTAAATATCTGTTTTCTCTGGGAAAAATGGCAAGATCAGCCACCTCGGGCCCATTATCTACCTGTCTACTATCGCTTGAAGCTGATGGCATCAGCCAGCCCCTCACATGGGGGCCTGGGTTCCCCAGGCTGCCACGGTCCCTACCTGGCTAGTTCTCTCATTCGTGCCACCTACCTGGGCCCTGCAGGAGGCCAAGTTTGAGACCCCCGGTGGACTTTGTGCACTGTCCTGGCCCTCTTGCCAGGGGAGGGGAGCTGGAAGCTCGGGGGAGAGACTGTGAGCACCAAGGAACCTAAAGCACGGGCAACGAGGGGGACTTGCAAGGAAACCCAGGCAGAGGTTTTCTTCAGAAACCACATACTAGCCTAAAATTCCTTTGGGACCAATTCTTGCCGTTTCAAGAATGAAAATCGATTGCTGGGGAGAGCTCACAGAGGCTGTGTGAGGAGAGACGGCCACGTTTCAGGCTTCAGTCTGCAGCCCTTAACTTAAAGGCAGCGAATGCGATTCTTTTGAAAAGGCCACCTGATGATGCTTTTTTCAGCAGCTGGCAATAACAATAAAATCGATCCAGGACTTGGAACAAAACCCTTCGTCCCTTGCCAGAGAATAGTTCGTTTCCTCTATCAGGCGACAAACGAGAGTTGTTGAAGCGCTTGCTGGCGGTCCAGCCGTGCTGGGCCATCTGGACCGCGCAAGGAAGCCCCTCGGCACCAGCCCTGCTGAGGATCGTCTGGCCAGCCTCGTATGCCTCTCAGAATGTTATTCCTGAAGAGATGAAGGGACAGTGACAAGGCTGCCAAGTGGTCCCCATGCTGGTCACTTTCTTTGGGGCACACCCAATGTGTCCACCTCTTTGGATGTGTACAGACGGATCGCTGTGCCACCGAGGCTTTATCAGAGCATCTGAGCCTTCAGGAATCTGCTTTCCGCCTACCCACCATCCTCTTGCCTGCCTGCAAATCCCAGCTTCATCTCTCATGGGCTGTGTGACCTAGAGTGAATCATGTGACCACTCTGTGCCTCAGTTTCCTAATTCGTAAAGCCAGACTAATCATAACCCCTATGCGCCAAGTTGTTGTGAGGATTAAGTGGAAATGGATTCATACAAAGCACTGAGCCTGGTGCCTTGCACACCGTCTCATATTTGGTTAACCAGAACACTCACCAACCCTCCTGCATGCCTGCCCTGGGCTTTCCTACCTCCTGGCCTTCGCTCATGCTGTTCCCTCCCCCAAAGCACTTTGCCCATTGCCCTCCTGCAGCCTGGATCTCAGCCGGGCCGGGATCCCCAGAAGAGACTAGCACGGGGCCTGGAGGGCAGAGGATCCAGGAAACCCTCGCCAGATGTGGTCTATGGGTGGCAAGCCTCCAGGCTCACTTCCTCCCCGCCCTTGGCAGGAACCGGGAAGGTGTCAGCGCGGGAGACAGACCTGCGAGGGAGGGGACGCATGCGCGTTTGTTCATTCACTAATGCTGCGGACGCCCTCCAGCGCTTGGGCACCCCAGGCCAGGCCGCTGTTGTCTCCCTTCTGGTGACCGTGGGGCCCTCCTCCCTGCCTTCCTGGCTTCCTCTCCCGCCCCTGCCCATCTCCACTCAGCAGCCAGACGGATCCTGGGACTCTCCTCCGCGCCCGGTGGGGGCCTGGAATGGCACAGCCCCAGCGGAAAACAGGTCAGCGATTTCTTATAAGGTTCAACTTCCACTTAACCCGTCAGCCAGCAAGTCTATGCCTACATATTGACCGAAGAGAAAGGAAAACATCCGTCCACACAAAGACTTGTACAAGAATGTGAATGACAGCCAAAAAGCGGAAACAGCCCTCATTGTGTACCTCCACAGAAGAATGGAAACACAGACAGACAGATGAGGGACTCCTGAGGTGCGCAAAACCGTGGGGGGTCTCCGATCACCAGGCCGGTGAAAGCGGATGGCCCAGCAGACGGCACGCTGTGCGGGTGCTTCTGTGGACATCTACATCAGGTGGAGAGCATCTGTGGTCTGGGAAACCCGAGCAGCGACCGCCTCTGGGGAAGGAGCTGAGAGACCCTTCTGAGGGCTGAAAAGGCGCTAACCTGATCTGGTGAAGCCACGCAGGTGTCTACAGATGCCACCCATCGAGCTGTGTACTTTAGATTTGTGCCCGCCACTCCATGCGACGGAAAATCA